GAAAAGTTGCAGGAATTTTGGACATAGGACCTCATTTCCTAGTCCTTTTTCAATGGACGTCCGCTACTCAGCCTGATTCATCATCCGGTTATCACTTCGTGGAAACCGTCTGACCTCGCAGCATTAGGATTTGTTTGCTCAAAGGTAGGCGGGTACTTTTTTATGTAACCAATCGCTGCTATTTGGTCGTGATGTATGTAATGCGCCAAATCCCGTAGGAAGAAGGACAATAAAATTTTTCCCAAACTAGGGATGGGCATTTGGTTCAATTTTCTTAATCGATCATCAGGAGAATTAACAATCGATTTTTGATTAATCATTAACATTTTTTATATTATAATGATCATCTTTATTATTACTATTACTAATCTGCATAAATAAACTCAACTTTACAACATATAAACCATAACCACTCTAGAGTCACATCAGCCTGTTTGAGATTATAATGTGTTTAATGCAAATACAAATTTGTTTACATTTTACACAAACAAAACTTAAAACCACATGACTCATTTGCAGAAACTATAAGCGCTGAAAAAATAAGCTCTTTCCTTGTGCGCTGATGCGGTTCAGCTTCTAAAGGACACGAACTCAGTGGAATATGAGTGTTCTTTCTGTGACAGAGGGATGATGATGATGATGATGATGATGATGGTGAGTCTGTTCTGTGTGTGTGTGTCGTGTTGGAGATGGTTCATGTTTTCAGAGATCAGACATGTGCAGGTTTATCACAGCTCTTTATGTTGTAGTAACCGGGATACTGTGTATACATGCAACATGACAAAACCGGGACACTGATGTGCTGTAAACACACTCACTGAGAGGTACAGTGTGATGCCAAAGCCAAAACAAGGGACTGTGAGGCACTACTCCAGTGTTAGTCAGACGCAGCCTCATCTCCTTACACTACGCTACGCACAGCAACCTACATTCGGTTTGTCGATTAAAAATGAATGTAATCGACAAAATTCTTAATGATCAATTATCGATTAATTGATTAATCACGCCTATCCCTACAACAAACATTCTCTTTGTTCCGACTTTAAATCCTCGATCTCGGGAATCGTTGCCAACACAGAATGTCTGTCTTCGTCTACGTCCATCTCGACGCTTTGTTTACTGTTGTGCTGTTCCACAAAAGGGACCCAGACAGACATTTGAGTTTGACGTCATGGCTTCACAGCTCTTCCCTGATTGGCCGGTGCACGATCTACAACTTCTGGAGTTCTTACAAACCATCTATTCTATGTATTCCGATTCCTGACCTAGTCGCTGGAGAGAAATGAAATTGAGCAGAGTTACTAGGTGCTACTGCTCACTTCTCCTTGGAACGCGGAGTCTAGCAGATCACCTACGTCCATTTTTATACCCCATATACCGACTGTACTCCATTTCAGGTTTACTGGTGCCGTTTCATGCGACCACTAACAGGAGCAGCTCTTGAAAAACACACAGAAACGAAATACTGCACTCTATATTCTCAGCAGCATAAAATAGTATAATAAGAGTTAGAAATATACTCTTTTTTTTATGATTTGTTTATGGCTATTGAAGCTGCTGTTCTATTTCGGTTCATTGTTGAGTCCGTGTGTGTGCAGCAGGCAGAGCACAGACTCCCCGTGTGCTCTGGACTTCATTCATTCAGAGATAAGAGGCGTCGAGGCAGAAATAGACTGGGAGTGATGAAACGCACACACAGCACCACACGCTGACAGTAACGAATGACTAACCAGGAACTCTGCTAAAAGTCATACAAAGACAGCAACTACTAAAGGTGCGCTGTGGAACTTTTCTGCTGCGGGGGCGGAGGTGGGCTGTCGTCGGTTTGGATTCGTGGAGCTTGGAATGTTCCATAATATGACATTAAACTGATCTATCTATCTAGCGTGTATTCAATTATAGGTGATTTTATTCCAGACATACCTTGAAAAACAAACAGTGACTGGACTTGCCTCTACACAGATCTGAACTGTAACCTTGTCTACGTTTGTGTGATGACGGAAACACTAGGTGGCGATGTACGTGAGGTAAACGCGTACGTGACGTGAGCAGATCTGACCAGAGTTTTGCGTCTTGGGCAGCGTAGACGGAAACGCTACGGCGGAGCGTATTCAACTTTTCCACTCTGGAGGGTGGACCACGCCGATCTTCAATACCAATATCGGTATCAGTACATCCCTGTGTATGTAATTCGTTCATTCGTTTTTCAATATAGAACCAAAAATGAGAAAATGAAAAAACAACTATTTTCATTATTTGTCTCCAAAACCAAAATGAAAAATGGAAAACGATTCGGTTTTTCAGTTTTCGATTTTGTGTGGAAAAAAAAAATTGAAAAAACGGATAACGGGCGTTTCCCATTTACATGACTTAAACCAGACATGTCAAACTCAGGCTCGGGGGCCAAATTTGGCCCACGATATAATTATAGTTGGCCCGCCAGACAGTAACAAATATGTATTATAGCTGCCCGCTGGCTACAGGTAGGCTAGCGAGACATGATTTTTTATTTAAAATGTTATTATTTTATATTCTGCTTGTTCTGGTTTCAATGCTTAAGCAAAACTTTTATAAACATACTATAAAATTTTATTTGATTAAGAAAAGGTTTAACATTACATATCTCAAAAGAAGAGAAAACCTGCAGAAATTTTTCAATAAATATTCAGTTTGGCCCACGACTTAGTCCCACTTTTTAATTTTGGCCTCTGTGAATTTGAGTTTGACACCCCTGTCTTAAACTGCAATTCCGGACTAAACCAGGACTGAACCAGGGCTAAACCAGGTCCGGGACCAGATCGGAACCGGATTGGGACTGAGACCAGGACTTAGACCGGGACCAGATCAGGACTGAGTCCGGGTACAGGACCAGGACTAAGACAGGGACTGTGACCAGGCTCAGAATGTGATTGAGACCGGGACCAGACCAGGACTAGACCGGGACTGAGACTGGGACCAGACCAGGACTGAAAATGGTTTAGTCCTGGTTCCGTCCTGGTTCCGTCCTGGTTCCGTCCTGGTTCCGTCCTGGTTTAGCCCTGGTTTAGTCCAACATCGCAGTTTAAGTCACGAAAACGAGAAAACGAATCATTATCCGTTTTTTTCATTTTGGTTTTGAAAACAAATAATGAAGAAAATAGTTGTTTTTTCATTTTCTTATTTTTGGTTTTATTTTGAAAAACGAATGAATGATACATGGACTGTATGTTTAATCTAAATTTAATCTAATTTTAAAAAATCATCACAATGACCTTATAATGATTCACAAGATCACAAGTCTTTCCATAGCAAACGCTTTGTTGTGTTGCAGCGCGAACTACACAGACCATGATTCCTTGCTGCTTTTCATTGCGGGGAAACATGAGTAAAATACCAAAGACTGCACTCCTCAGAGATGTGCCTGTTGAGTTCAGCTGCTGCACATCTGAGTCTGACACTTCAGACACGAAAACCACCACACAACACAACGACACACAACTCCACAAACATCACGACAAACACACAAAAGAACACCGACTTCTCTAAGGTGAACATGAAAAGGCAACTCAGATTTAACAACAACTCCCCCATTTTTAGACTTATTTATGTATGATCTACTTTGCATACATGTTTAAATAAAAGATCTTGTGGAGGCTCTGTCAAATCCTTCCTTCACGGAGACCAAACCAGACCGAGTTACAGGTCAGATCTGCGGAGAGGCGACCCCACTCACACTCAGAATGCCTGTTTTTCTAGGTATTTAATTGCAAAAAGAACTGTTTAATGTCATATTGTGGAACATTCCAGGCAGAGCAATGACTTATCTATAGAAAATTGTAATATTTACTGAAATAAAACACCTCTACACCACTGCCAATTACCAGTCCACAAACACAGTGCTGTATTTCCCGGTTATAAACGGCTCTAGATTAACGATGACATGAATCCATCACAACACGTAGTATGATAATAATAGCTGCTGACTCACACATTAGCACCGTATTAGAGAGAAAGAGGGAGGAGAGAGGAGAGGGGGGCAGATAGAGGAGAGAGAGAAGAGAAGAGAAGAGAAGAGAGGGGGTTATAAACAGCTCCAGGCTCTGACTCATCCCGTGTACCATGTGGTGTAGTGTGAGACGTCTTCTCTGCTCAAATGCATCAATGATCTCAGCTCTCACATCAAAATGACACTGTGGGAAACTGCAGCCGCCAGGGTTCAAATCATCCACAAAGTCTACGTTCAGACAGCAGGGCTTAACGCTCAATTCCAATTTTTATTTTTTTTTTATGAAATCCGATGTTTTTGCGAGGTCGTTCACATTTCCAGTTAAACGCGACTCGTGTGTGATCTCCAGTGTGAACGTTAAACGGCCCAAAAGCGGAGGACACGACGACGTCAGCCGCAGCGAGCGTGCTCTGTGTTTACGGAAGTTGTCCAAACATGGACGCGAGCATTGAGCACCTGGAGATTTTAAAGTTCCTCTCGTACCGGAGCCAGAACATGAACAGATTATTTGTTGTAAGGAGGAGACTGAGAAGGAGAAGGAGAGGTTTTTGGCCATGGCGTTTCGTGGGACAGTCCGTTGAAAGGAACGTGTGGATGTGGAGACGGAGCCAAGAGTGGTGAGTGGTGATGTGCTTCGCTTCAGTGACACGGAGTTCATTAACAATTTTCGCCTACTTCAGCGCAGAATAGTGACGTTTGTGGCTTGTTGATAACGTGTAGGTGGATGAATGCGCTTTGGCCGTTCAGACTGAAGTCACATGTCAAAAGATCAGATATGTATCGGTTTTAGGAGCACATATCCAAGTGTCCTGGGTCACATTTGAAAAAATCTGATCTGTGTCGTTCAGACTGTCATTAAAAGATCAGATACAGGTCACATAGAGGCCAAAAAATCGGATTTGGGTCACTTCAGTCTGCAGTCTGAACGTAGCCAAATAGATCTTACTTGGGATCTTATTGCTATCTCAGAAAATAAATAAATAAATACATAAAAATACAAAATAAAGGTTCTGACCGTTTCCTCTTGAAGGGAGACTTGGGGATGTCGGCCAGGGGGATCATCTGCTCTCCAGGCCTCACCCACAGAATGGGACCGTCGTCTGAGTCTTTGGGCTCCATGGAGCTCAGGCTGGAGAACGAGCCCCAGGGCAGAGTCCTCTGTGAGAGCCACAAACAAACAAACAAACCAAACAGGGATGAGATATTGACAAAAAGAAACAACATTTATAAGAACTGTGACTGGTGCTTTTTTTAACATAACTGTGTACCGTATTTTTCTGACTATGAGTCGCACTTTTTTTCATGGTTTGGGTGGTCATGCGACTTATATTCCGGTGCGACCGACAGCCACGAGAGGCTGTGGTCTTGTGTGTCAGTGTCTGTTACTCCTGTACCACTGTCACTTCACTCTACTGTGCATGTCTCCTGCAGAAAGAGCCTCTGTCCTGCTGCAAGTAGCGAAAATATTCAGCTGAAAACAGTAATCGAGCAGCAGAAAGAAAGTTTGGAGTGATCGAGAAACTTGTGAGGGACTGACGGAAAGCGGGGATGGAGAACACAGCTTCAAGGGAACCGAGAGAGTGTGACATGAACCTTTCCTGGAAGTCACTGGATGGATCGACAAAGCCTGAACTTCAGTGTCGGGATTCAGAAAGGCCGGAATAATTCTAACTAAAACTGATGCTGAGTCTGACGACAGCGACACAGAAGAGGAAGCGGCGTCTGTTTACCTCCGGAGGTCGTGGAGTTGCTCAGAAGTGACACCGAGGATGAAGAATTGAATGGATTTAGTGATTTGGAGTGAGATGGAGAGTTTGTTAAACTTGTTCTGTTCTGTTGTTTATGTTATAGTTTATCTGAAAAACTGTTCATATGTGACGTTAACAGTCTGTTGTTTTCTCTTCTATTGTTTTACTAGAACTTGACTTTCGAGTTGAAATGTTGGTTCCTGGTCTCTGATTTTATAAAATAAATTTCCCCCTAAAAGTGCAACTTATATATGTTTTTTTCTTCTTCATTACACATTTTTTGGCTGGGGCGACTTATACTTCGGATTGACGAAAAATACGGTAGATATGTACGTTTTACTATTTGAATTTTTAATGTGTCTATTTTACTGTGTCTGCTGAGGCACCTCTTGGCCATAAAGTAAAATAAAAATAAACTGTTTCAGCATTTTTTCATTTTATAATCCTCATTTTTTTTACATTGTTTTTATCCGCTGTTCTTTTAAGATCTTCACTGGTGGCCTGTGCACCATCGAAACAGTTTGAGCCAGACAAGAGAGAACTCAAACATTACAAGAATCCCTCCTGCTGTGCGAGGTCATAAAAACATTACTTTTGAAGGGAATTTTAAAATTATAATTACTCCCAAATGTCTGTGTGTTTTTTGTATCTTCTCGTCAGGCGTCTCACCTTCAGGAAGAGAGATTCCTCCAGGAGCCCGAGGAATTCTGGGAAATAGCTGCCGACTCCTCGTCCACGGCTCCCACCAAACTGATCTGCCTCATGGGCCCCGCTCTGTACGTGCCGTGACTGTACGAGCGCTTCACCTGCGGCACAAAAGAACACAGAAACACAATTCAGTAATGTTTAGTATATTTATGTTTGCAGCTTCCTGTTTATAGGCGACATTTTAAGGACTTTGACCATGAAAAAGATAGAATACAAGCATCACGAATTTCGACTTCCGGTCATCGCGCAATGCATACTGGGAAGGATTTTCCAAAAAAGTCAGCATCAAACCGGCATGTTTGATTTCACAGTGGGATGCATCTATTGACAAAGCCGACTTTTCTAGTCTTTTGAACCGAATCACTTTTGTTTCTGGCTCTGATATTAGCGAAAAAATGCACAGCACACCCAGATGGCCGATGTCCAAAAACCACCCTACCTTCAAAATAACGTTTTGGCCAAAAAAGCCCTGATCAGATCATCTTCCTGCCCTGGACCACAGGGGGGCTTTTGGACATCGGCCATCTGGGTGCGCTGTGCATTTTTTCGCTTTTGTCTAGCTCACAGGTGTCAAACATAAGGCCCGGGGGCCAGATCCGGCCCTCCAAGACCTTTAATGTGGCCCTTGGGTGATTTTCTACTAAAATATTTTAATTATATTTTCTATTAAAATATTGGTAATTTTCTGCGGTGCTTAGGACAGCAGCATCTCCAGCGCCTCTGTACGTGGCCCCTCCCACCAGAGCAGCACAAATGAAGACTTGTCTCTTTCCAAACGCTCTTAAAGGACGATCGTTTTGACTGTTGACCGTGACACCCTCATCAGAAAAATGTCCAACATGAGAAAAGTGGAGCCGAGTGCAGGATTTTCCAAGAAAAATTTACTTATTCCTATTTGCAAACAAGTTTCAGGTTGTTCATAATATATTATAATAAGAAAGAGTTCATCAATTAAAAAAGATTTCTGTAATAGATTTGCGTTTCTCTGCACGAATATTTGAACTTATTGTTATTTCTGGGGTTTATATGACATGAGTTCTGATCCGGCCCCTTTGGGATCAAAATAGGTTGGATATGGCCCCCGGACCAAAATGAGTTTGACACCCCTGGTCTAGCTGCTCCTTGCATTTGGACCTCTGCAGGAATTTTGGTGTGCGTTTTCTGTTTCTTCTGGTTCTAATATTGTCATATTTTAGTTCTGGGATTCGGACATCGTAATCGTGCGGTTGTTGGATCCTAACAGCGGAAAACGGGCTTCGGAAGTTTGCAAACTCCATAAATGCAAAAGGGAATCAGATGTGTGTGACTGTAAACCTCCGTTCAAACTGTTTTTCTGCCCAACAGAATTGAAAAATAGTGAAAGGCGAAGGCGATGGGCAAGATTGATCCACAGGAAGGAAGAAAAAGGTAAACTTTGACTGCTTAAGAAATCATCCCGAGTTTGCAGCGAACATTTTGTATGTGGAGCGTCAACAAAGTGGGATCCCGTTTGTTAATCGAGAGGTGCAGAAGACAAACAGACTGAGCTGCACTTTCTTGTTCTTGTGGTTTTACAGCAACATCACGTCTTGGTCTCTTTGCAGTGGAAGGTGTTTCTTGGTGAACAGTTGGTGCCTTTCGCTTTGGTGTTGACTTTTTAAATTCGTAACCAAGGTTGAGCGAGGGATCGGGATTTTACTTTGTTGGCGCTCCACATACAAAATGTTCACTGCAAACTCGAGATGATTTAGGCAGTCAAAGGTTTCTTTTTTTTTTTATCTTTCTTGTAGATCAGGGGTGTCAAACTCATTTTGGTCCAGGGGCCATATCCAACCTACTTTGATCTCAAAGGGGCCGGATCAGAAAACTCATGGAATATATACCTCAAAAATAACAATAAATTCAAATATTTGTGCAGAGAAACGCAAATCTATTACAGAAATCTTTTTAAATTGATGATCTCTTTCTTTTACAAAATATTATAATATTATGAACAACCTGAAACTTTAAGAAAAATGCAATTTCAACACAATATTTTAACATGAACTTGTATGCACATAGGAATAAGTCAATTTTTCTTGGAAAATCCTGCACTTGGCGTTCACTTTTCTCATTTTTGACATTTTTCTGATGAGGGTGTCACGGTCAACAGTCAAAACGATCGTCCTTTAAGAGAGTTTGTCTTCATTTGTGCTGCTCTGGTGGGAGGGACCACGTACAGAGGCGCTGGAGACGCTGCTATGCTAAGCACCACAGAAAATTACCAATATTTTAATTTAAATATTTAAGTTGAAAATCAGCCGAGGGCCAAATTAAAGGTCTTGGAGGGCCGGATCTGGCCCCCGGGCCTTATGTTAGACACCTGTGTTGTAGATCAATCCTGCCCATCGCCTTCGCCTTTCACTATTTTTCAATTCCGTTGGGAAGAGAAACAGTTTGAACAGAGGTTTGCAGTCACACACATCTGATTCCCTTTTGCAGTTATGGAGTTCACAAACTTCCGAAGCCCGTTTCTGGAGCTGTTTTCCACTGTTAGGACATCCAACAACCACACAATTACCATGTCTGAATCTAATAACTAAAATATGACAATATCAGAACCAGAAACAAAAGTGATATGGATCAAAAGACTTGAAAAGATCGACTTTGTCAATAGACGCATCCCACCGGGAAAACAAACACGGAGGTTTGACGCTCACATTTTTCGGAAAACCCTTACCAGTATGGATCGCGCGATGACCGGAAGTCCGAAATTCGTGATGCCTGAATATGTCGTTTAAGCTCATGGCAAAACAATGCAGACTTTCCGTCACTCTGAACTGAAACAATCCAGCTCAGTTTAAAACTACGGAGATTATGAAAAGTTATGATGATTATAAATGAACCAAAACTATAAATAAAAGTGTGTGTTTGAGTTGAACGGGCCGGATCCAGCGAGTTTAAACGAGGAGTCGTGCTGCGAGCGTGGAGAGCTCCGCTGTAACGACTCCAGAGACACTGTGTTTACATAATGCATAATTTAACAGCAAAACAGGCATGGCATTGTTTTTACTTCATTATAAGAAAGAGACAGAAGAAGGAGAAGAAGAAGAGAGGGAAAAGGGGGATGAGAAGGAGGGGGAGATACTGGGCAGAGGGAGTGAGAAGGAAAGAGAGAGAGAGAGAAAGGGAGGAGAGGAGAGAAACAGATGGGTGGGATGGACGAGAGAAAGAGGAGGAGATTGAGAAGAGAGATAAATAGTTTGAGGGAGAGAAGGAGGAGAAGAGAGACAGATGGGTGGGGTAAGAGAGAGAGGAGAAAGAAGATGGAGAGAGAAAGAGAGAATACGGAGGAAGAGAGGAGAGGGAGGTTGAGGGGGATGAGAAGGAAGAAGAGAGAAAGGGAGAAGAGAGACAGATTAGTAGAGTGAATGAAAGAGAAGATGAGAGAAATATGAGGAGGAGGGAAATAGTCAGAGAGAGGAGAGAGAGGGATGAGAAGGAGAAGAGGAAGGAGAGAGAAAGGGAGGAGAGAAGACAGACAGATGAGTGGGGTAAGAGAGAGAGAGAAAGGACAGGGAAAGAGAGAGGATGGAGGTTGAGAGAGGGGAAGAAAAGGAAGAAGAGAAGAGAGACAGATTAAGTAGGGTGAACGAAAGAGAGAGGATGAGAGAAATAGTTTGAGGGACAGAGGAGAGAGAGAGAGAGAGAGAAGGTTGAGAGAGGGATAGATGAGAAGGAGAAAGAAAAGGAGGAGAGAAGAGAGACAGATGAGTAGGGTGAACGAAAGAGAGAGGATGAGAGAAATAGTTTGAGGGAGAGAGGGAGGAGAAGAGAGACAGTTTGATGGGGTAAGAGGGGGGAGACACAGACGGAAGAAGGAGAGAGAGAAAGAAACAAAGAGAGAGAGGGAGAGTTTGATAGAGAGGAGTTGGAGGTTGAGAGAGAGAGAGAGAGAGAGAGAGGGGTGAGAAGGAAAAAGAGGAAAGAGACAGAAAGGGAGGAGAGGAGAGAACAGATGGGTGGGGTGGACGAGAGAAAGAGGAGGAGAGTGAGAAGAGAGATAAATAGTTTGAGGGAGAGAAGGAGGAGAAGAGAGACAGATGGGTGGGGTAAGAGAGAGAGGAGAAAGAAGATGGAGAGAGAAAGAGAGAATACGGAGAAAGAGAGGAGAGGGAGGACAGGGAGGGATGAGAAGGAAGAAGAGAGAAAGGGAGAAGAGAGACAGATTAGTAGGGTGAACGAAAGAGAGAGGATGAGAGAAATATGAGGAGGAGGGAAATAGTCTGAGAGAGAGGGATGAGAAGGAGAAGAGGAAGGAGAGAGAAAGGGAGGAGAGAAGAGAGACAGATGAGTGGGGTAAGAGAGAGAGAAAGGACAGGGAAAGAGAGAGGATGGAGGTTGAGAGAGGGAGGGAAGAAAAGGAAGAAGAGAAGAGAGACAGATTAGTAGGGTAAGAGTGAGAGAGGGGGAAGAAGAGAGAGAAGGTGAGGAGAAAGATGATGAGAGAGAGAGAGAGAGAGAGGATAGGGAGAGAGAGAGGAGAAAGAGGTTGAGAGAGGGAGGCATGAGAAGGAAGGAGAGAGAAAGGGAGGAGAGAAGAGAGACAGATGAGTGGGGTGACTGAAAGAGAGAGAATGAGAGAAATAGTTTGAGGGAGAGAGGGAGGAGAAGAGAGAAAGATTGATGGGTGTGTGTGAGAGAGAGAGGAGATGGAGAGAGAGAAAGAAAGAAAGAAAGAAAGAAAGAGGGGATAGGAAGAGAGATAGAGAGAGGTGAGAAGGAATAAGAGGAAGAAGAGAGAAAGAGAGGGGAGAAGAGAGGAGAAAGAAGATGGAGAGAGAGAAAGGATAGGGAGAGAGAGGAGAGGGAGGTTGAGAGAGAGAGAGAGAGAGAGAGAGAGAGAGAGGGGTGAGAAGGAAAAAGAGGAAAGAGACAGAAAAGGGAGGAGAGGAGAGACAGATTGGTGGGGTGGACGAGAGAAAGAGGAGGAGAGTGAGAAGAGAGATAAATAGATCGAGGGAGAGAGGAAGGGAGAAGGGAGGAGAGGAGAGACAGATGAGCGGGGTGGGAGAAAGAGGGGAGGAAAGAGGAGAAAGAAAATGGAGAGAGAGAAAGCATAGGGAGAGAGAGGGGAGTG